ATGCAATACACACTGAATGAAGAAAAGAAGAGATTGAAAGAGAGAATACGAGACAGAGAGACAGAGCAAAAAAAAACGGTGGGAGGGCAATGCTACAAGGACGGTTCACTACTGCGTGACACAGTTCTTCAACATGGCAGTCCGAGAGAGAGAGTGACATGCAGTAGCCAACCTTTCTTTTGAGTTTTCTGGATTGCGTTATTTTATTCTACGGATGGACGCATGCGGTAGCCTCAATCATATGTTGAGCTGCCTTGCTACAAGCAGGGTTCACTACTATGTGACACAATTTCGCCAATGTCAGTCCGAGAGAGAGAGTGGCACGTAAGTAGCCCACCTTTCTTTTTTCCTCATCGAATGGATGGCGGTATTTCATTCCACGGATGGATGCATGCCGGAGCCTCAATCATACGCTGAGCTGCCCTTCTACGAGCACAGTTCACTACTGCGTGACACAAATTCGCCACCATGTCATGCCGAGAGAGAGAGTGTCACACACTTGCCAACCTTGCATTGACGACAACCAATAACATTTGTAGGCTGTGGGTGATGTTTGTCAACCATATCTTCTCATATTTTTAGTATAGGTAGTTGTATTTACGGTCACTAAGGCAAGTCATGGGTTGCAACGATCCTTGTCTTCTCATTGGTCTCCTATTTTCTTCTGCAAACTGTGATGTCTTTATACATCATGGTATTACACATTACATAGTCGCTCACTCTTGAAAAAGACAATGATGAGCATTATAAGGGATTGTACAATGTTGTATCATAAATAACAAAGCATATGTTGTACAGTGATTGCTTAAATGTCGTAATTCACAGTCATCATCTCCGTTTCTCTCTCTCTCTCTCTCTCTCTCTCTCTCTCTCTCTCTCTCTCTCTCTCTCAAGCATGCAATGAAAGTGATCTCCTGCAACTCTTGGTGGCAGATTTCGTTACGAACCTTCTGATTCACACAAATGTGTTCCCCTCCCCTCCCCCGCCCACTGTTCAAGGACTGACACACAGACTTTCTCTATCCCTCTCCCCGTCTCTGCTTCTCTCACAAGGTGGTGCAATGAACTCCAAGTCGAAATCGTCATCTGTTATCGTTATGTTATGTGGCCCGCTCATGTGGACAGAGGGCTTGAAATAAGGCAACGGCCTTCTCAGAAACAGATGCAGCGCGGTCCAACTTGAAGATCGAAAAACTCATGATTGTGTCACGGCTGCGGATAGATGATGCGATGTCCTACTTTATACGTGTCAATTTTAAATTTGTATCTGGTCGGCCGCTCTACTGGTCTTTGTTGTCTGCTAGATTTCACATTGCAGAACCATTTCTGCAAAAGACAGTTGTTGCAGCGTCACGCCAAGGTTCGTGTCGTCCCTCCTCATCTGGAAAACCTTTGTGAGTGTCGTCTTGAACGCTCGTTCGCCCCAAGGATCGTCGCCGCTCCGTCTCCATGTTTTGTCGTCCTTCATCTCTGCTCGCATCTTGTTGCGAGTAGGGAGCTGGTGATCCGTTTGCTGCGATCATACAAGCTGGATACCTTTTTCTGCCCAAAACCAATGCTTCAGTTGCCATGTTATCTCTCCGCGCACTGTTGTCATCATTCTGTCACGGTTGCACTCCCCTATCACCGCTCGAATCCCGCTCTCCGCTACATGTGATCGCAGTCCTTCCTCTGCATTCTAGTTTTGTTGTTGTTTGCAGCGTCGTGAAAAATCCGTCCTCTGTTGGGTACAGTGTTGCGTCCTTCGCTGCAGAAGACACAAAGGCTTTTGCGACTGAACGAAACAGTCTGTCCTTCATTTTCTTCGTGAAAACGCCGCTTTGTTGGTCGGCTTTTCTCTGTCCTTCTCCGGTCTCGTGTGGTTTTCTTTGCAACTTCGTGCCATCTGGTGGAAAACATACGCTAGAACGCAAAAGTGATATTAAAAACTCGAAATATCGCATCCATTTTCGTACCTGTGAAAATCGACAGTTCAGTGAACAAAGCACTATAACTTTCTCTCATCATGGATATGCTAGCATATTCCGTCCTAATGACTGCGACTTCCTGCAAGGGGAGCAACTCTAGCCAACTTTGCTTAACTTCTTGAATTTCGTTGTCCTTCGTCACTAGTTGTCTGTCATTCGGGGGCGTGTCGCATGCGGCTCTCTCCTTGTACTGTTCCTTGTACTGTTCACGTTCGCTTGTGCATCGCGTTCTTTCCAGGGATGGTGAAATCTCTCTCTCCTCCGCGCCCCTCCCATTCTCATTTGCCTCTTTGTTGTCCTCATCTTGCGTTGTGTCGTCGCTGCTCCTCTCTTCCTCGTCATCGGCCTCGTCAGCAGCATGAGAATCTCCGCAGGAAGTTTCACTGTCACTTCCCTCGTCGCTCATTGCCTCGTCTTCCTCTCCGTCCGTCTTTTCTGATATGGACTGCTCGTCTTCGTCTTCTGCTTCCTCTTGGACCGCGCTGTGCAAATTGTTCGAGCCTCTCAGATCGATCGTCTCCACTATTTTGTCTTTTTTGTATGTGATTCTCTTCTTCGTCTTGTGGTCTTGCTTCGGTGTTCACTCTTCTCGCGACCTCTTCTCGGACGTTTTTGGTGGACGGTTCTAGATGCCGCTCGCTTGGTTCCTCCCGACGGGAGTTGCTGGGGTGTTTTGTTGCATTCTTTCAACTTTGAAATCTCTCTGTGTCGTGATGGAAGAGAAACAAGTGGTCCGTTTCTACGGTCGTGCGTCCGCTTCGTTTTTGGTGTCTCGCATCCGCTTCTGCGATGCTCTTTCCTGTCTTTTTTCTTATCAGCCTTGCATTTTTTCCTCCCCTTATCGTTATTTTCCACGACCTTCAAAGACCTGCACAAATCCTCATATTTTGGCCTTGGAGCCATGACTCTTTTTTCACCACATACATCAAATTAGATACAACAACAACTGCGTCAGCTATGTCGTGGGTCAGATCATACACCCCTGACCCCCAAATTGGCTACACAGAGAGAGAGAGAGAGAGAGAGAGAGAGAGAGAGAGAGAGAGAGAGAGAGAG